TTTTTTTATAAAAAAAAAAATCCTCTCTCAAAATGATCTTTTTCACTTTCTTCTACTTTGCTGTTCTTAGATTTGGTGACAAGTTAAAGATGAAGCCAACAAGGGGGGGGGAATAACTACACTTTCTCACATGGCCTCTTGAGTCTGTCTCTAAACATGAGGCAATCAACAGATTTATATTCCAAAATAGCCAACTAAAGCACAAACATGTTGACAGCTTGGTACAAGGAACACCTTTGGTGCCTGTAAAACCACTCAAGAGTTGAAATATTTCATAACTCACCAGTTTATGAAGTTTTCTAATTTTAACCAAGGGCATAGTTAAAATAAATTACAAAAAGAAAACATTAAACTGGACTGGTCTCACAACACTGACGCCCTCTTCAGGAAGGGACAGAGCAGACTGTTCTTAGTAAAGAGACTCAGATCGTTCAGTGTCTGCAACAGACTCCTGAAGACTTTCTACCAGCCTCTTTACACCCACAGGGGTGTTTTGAACTATTCTGGCTGATTTGACCAGGAAATTGTAGTAAATAGGTGGAGCCATGAAATTCTAAGCACCAACAAGTATGATAAATTGTCGTCAAGTCCTCCTTCCAAAAAGGTTACTCCAAAACTAATAGGTTAGTGGAGCTGTCAGTCAAACACATTTTGGCCAGACCCACAAATTCCAGAGAAAAGTTATAATCAAGGTCTCAATCACTAACACCTGTGTGGGTGTACACAGACTTTAAAGAAAGAAAACAGTTCAAGAATAAAAGTATGAAGTGGTGCATGAATCATTATGGATTTACTGTAAAAAAAAATACTCTGTAGTTTAAGGTCCTGAAAAAGATACAATCTCAGCGGAGGTCTAGCCCCAGCGGAGGTCTAGCTTTCTTTACAGAAAAAAATAGCATAGAAAATGAAACACATTTTTAATGATTTAAATCATGGCTGAAGGAGAAACTAAATTGTTTCCATGTGTAAACTTACATGAGATTACAAATGTCTGTCATGTATTTTTGCTGCCTTCTCTTTGTAATTGTATTTTATCCATGTTTCATTCATAACTGCATTGTATTTTTAACTGAACTGTTTTTCATTTTCTCCTCTTTTTTAATTTGTCTTTATTTCTATCTGTTAGTTTTAAAAGCCTCCTCTGGACAGATGTTGCAAATCAGCATTTTGTAAAACATGAAGTTAACACTAAGAGCAGTGTATCTGGGACTTGCATGGTTAAATGTTACAGCACCAATGTTACTGTATGTCCACGTCAAACACATGAATAAATAAATAAATGACATCAAGTATACAGTAAACAATATCCTTTTATTTGTCATATTTTATTCATCCCTGAGATAAATTCTGGTTTACACTCTGTTAATGAGAGACATGCTTTACATAGGCCCCAAATACACACATGCACAAACAGGACCTGTGGGGGCTTCTACACACTGCTAGGCAGCCTCTCCAGTTACCAGACCAACTTCCATATATTTTAGTACACATCGGGACTTCAACCAGCAACCCTCCAACTCCCATCCCAGGTCCCTACAGAGTGAGCTACTGCCACCTTAAATTTATATGAATAACACCTACGCATCACAATGGCGTCACTTTTGTCATTCACGATGGCAGGCAGGAACTGGATGAAAGGTCAAATTTAGGTCAAGTTGTGGTGACTTGAGAAAATTGCAGTGTGGCTCATAATGCGCCGGTGTCCCTTGAAATTGTATTTGCCCTTCTTATCCCGACATTCTGTCTTCGAGGGAGCTCTTAGTGCTCGTATTCGTTGTGTCAAGCCTTTGTGAGCAAGTTGTGTCGCTGCTATTCAAAAATCCATTAATAAACGAGGGATGGAGGAGGGAATGAAGAGATATGACCCTGTTAAAGACATGAATTTTAAAGATATTAATAAGACTAAAAGAGAGCAAAGGACAAGCACTTCATGATCAGTTCAGCATCATCTGATCATACATTATGATCATGACTGCTAAGAGGAAGACGGCTTTGAGAAGACCACCTCTGAATCTGCAAATGACAAGAACTGGCTAAAATATGAACACACCCACACCTGCCAATTACAGTAATGCTTTTAAGACGGCTGCTGTGAATTAAATTAACCATGGGGCTGACCTCTGGAATATGCAAATGTTGTGTTAAATGCCTGTGTGGAGCAATGTGGGTCATTCTGTGTGTTACGCCTCAGACCATGGACAAATGGTGTATATTTTGAATTCAATACGAAGACTCATTTGGCATCAGGGTGCCGTTGGCCTAGTGGTTTGTGTATACACCCCATGTGCATTGGTTGTGGTACTTCAGGCAGGCGGCCCAGGTTCAAATCCAACTTATTGCTATTTTCCTAAATGTCATTCCCCTCTCTTTGTCCCTGATTTACGACTTGATCTGCTGTCCTATCTCTAAATAAAGGCATTAAAAGCCAAAAATAATGTTAATTAATTGATTAATTAATTAATCAATAGGCCTACATTAATAAATAACTAGACAAACTTTGAATCTATTGTGTGATCTTGTTTCAGTAAAAACAGCCAAACCAAAAACCAATGTTTTTCTTGTGAGGAGATTCTTTGTTTTTAAAGCATAAAATAACTGAGGCTCCTGGAGACAAGAGAAAAAAAAAGTCCAATGACAACATTTTAAATGCCTTGAGTCACATCTCAATTTTCCGACATGGTAATATCTTTTGTCTTAAATGTCATTAAATGTTGTTAAATTAGCTTCATATCACTGAAAGAGAGCGAAGGGAAGAAAAAAAGTGTGCTTGATTATTATGATATATGGCTCGTAGAGACTATTAATATTACTGACTCAGATGTCAGGAAACATCAAAGTGAAATATGTGATTATGAACATGAACAGTCAGTGGAACAGGTATAATTATTCCGAGAGCTATTGAGAGCAGAGTGAAAAAATCCTTTATTTAAAGTGGAAGTGAGTTAAATGCTAAAAAAGTTTAAGGAGTTTAAGGCCCATTAAGTTAGTAAGTAAGTAAAGTGTATTTATACACCTTTCAAGTTCGGACGTCACAAAGTGACAGACATTAAACGCACACAATTGCTTACATTACATTTAAAGGTTACATATTATCCTCTTTTTCAACAAGTTTAAATGAGTCTCAAAGCTCCCCAAAATATGTCCGTGAAGTTTCTTGCAAAAAATCCACTCTGATCCTGTGTTTGATCATGCCTATAAACCCCTCTATTTCAGCCCTGCTCAGAACAGGCTGTTTCTGTGTCTGTGGCTTTAAATGCAAATGCGCTGTTTTCGACCACACACCTCTGGAAGAGCATGGGTGGCTCGGGCTTTCTCGCTCCATGCCCTACTGTTTACAGTGAGAAAGCAGACTCAGGGCAAAACAAACATCCACCTGAGGGAGGGGTTACTGCCCTTTGTGATGTCACAAAGTGAAAATCTCCAAACGACCTGTTTGAGCACACATTTTCTGAAAAGTGGAGCAGGCAAAAGACAGAGAAGATGGACTTTTCTTATAATTGGTGGGTTTGTAGACAGACGAGGGACACATATTAGTGGTTGAAAAACATGGTTAAGTGTATTTTGCATAATGTGTGACCTATAATACTGGTGCCTTTATATGACCAAAAAATGAAATCAGACAATGTTTTGCCTGTTTTTGGGTATGATGCTAATAAAGTGATTTACATTAACCAAATAGCCTTTGATTACATTGGTATATCTGCAGTACTATGAAGACAAGTTGTGTTTGCCATTAAAAATAAGCCAAAGATTTTTTTTCCAATAACACAGACGAAAATGGGATTCAACACTAATCGGAAGCCAACTTTTCTCTTTACCTTCAAGAGGTTTATTAAATTTGTCTTATTTATGAAAGACTTTTCAACACATCCTTTACATTACTAGAAAAAGGTAGCTTACGATGTAACATTGAAGTTGATCCTTCTGTTGATTTGTTTCAATATGGACAATGGGCCTCATTCACCAATAATTTCTTAAGAACTAGTACTTAAGTATGATTACTAAAAGAGTAAATTAATCCCAGAACTAAGAAAGAAGTAAGAAGAAAATAGTATTTAAAAGAAGTGAGGTGTCTCTCTTTCACTCATTGCCCCAACCATATTTGCCAGATCCACATCTTTACAACACTAGGCGTACCTCCTCTGTCCACAGGAGGTTGACAAAATCAACACAGATGAAAACACGTTTCTTTAATTTCAAACATTTTTTTAAAAGTCAAATCTAATTGTTTTTAACTCTTACCAGAAATTGCTTCACTATAACTAATATTGCTAACTTTAGCAGTACCTAGATTGTCAAATTTTGATATAGGCCTATAGGACCCCCTGACCTGACACTAACAATTGGCCAATATTTGACAAGGATGGAGGTGAAACTTGTTGCAAAACAACACTTTGCACACAGCCCTACAAAGGTTAAAAAGAAGCAGCCATGATTGCACAGGAAAAAGAAGTGACCAATCAGTAGAAACAAATAAGGCCATATCTATGTTCTGTCCCAAACTGTGAGTCTGCACTAGACAAACAGAGTGAGTCTGTTGACTTTGACTATAAAGTCCATGTTTCAATGATTATTTAATATTTATTTGTACTGTGTCAGTCTAACGCTGACTTTCATGTCAGTAGTAGAGTGAAGTGAACCGAAGTGGTGCGACGGATGGAGTGCAGTATAGTGATCACAGGAGTACCCCCCCCCCCCATAAACAAGCTCCAGCTTTCACCATTGTGGCTCAAACCCTCCACCCTTTCCCCCTTTCTCTCTCTCTCTCTCTCTCTCTCTCTCTCTCCCCATCCTCTTTCTCTGTGACAGTCTCTCAGCCCTCCCACTCATCTCCCTCCCCTCCCCTCCCCTCCCTCTCTCCTCCCTCCTCCTCCTCAGAGGAACAGCTCTGTCCCTCTCTGCACTTGTCTCCTCAGTCAAGGAGAAACTAATTGGAGGAAAGAATAGAAGAAAGGAGCTGTTGGAAAACTAAACGAACCAAAACTTTACTTCTCTACAGCATGCCACAGAAAGGTAAGCTCGCTCTTTCCTCTCTCTCTCTCTCTCTCTCTCTCTCTCCCTCTCTCTTCCTCTCTCTCTTTCTCTGTTGCACCCTCCCTCCCCTCTGTCCATCTCTCCTCTTTCACTCTATCAGAGTATGGAGTTAAAACCTTACAGTTTGTTTTACACATGAGGACAGGAGAGTAAGTGATAGTGAGAGTAGTGCAATAAGAAAGAGAGAAAGAAAGAAAGTTAATTAAGAAAAAAGAGAAAAAGTAACGAAAAGTTAAGACAACAGATGAACAGCTGAAAAGATGAGGACAGCAGGATGAAAGAGGAAACAGATGAATTTGGGAACAGAGTGTCAAAAAAGTTCTGAAGAGGGAGAAATACGTTTTGTGATCATCCTCTTTCCCTCTTTAGTCTGAAATGTTTAGGAATCAACAGTTCAAGAGGAAATGACAGGGACTAAGAATTTTTTTATTTGAGATATGTTCAATGAATTGATTATAATAAGTAAAAACAGATTTATTATGGGGAGTAGCCGTTTCGATGTTCTAAATTCAGCATTTTCCTGTCAAAATGTAAAATCAAGCTTTTGTCAAAACAATTTTTTAATCCCATCAGGAAATATATAATTAAATCAAAGAAACATAGCCTACATTTTGACCCCAAAAAACTGCTGAGACGCTTTGTCCAACCGACTAGATTCCACATATAAATTGATATGTTGATCTGTAAACTCATTGTCCAGATATTGTAATGAGCCAGCCTCCGAGATACAGACTTCGTATGAACTTCTTTTAGTTGAAAATGTCCCATGCACGTCGCTCTGCTCCCACACTTCACTTCTTCTTTGCTTGGTATTTGCTCGGGATTATTTTTTGCCTGAAAGACAAAACTGTGGGCAAAGAAGCCCCATAACCAATCAAACACCAACAAGAACAACCTCAAATCACCTTTCGTTGGGGCTTTGACGCGAGCGCGCGAGGTGATGCCGCCCGCTCCTCATCGACAGTGATGGATGTGGATTAATCTCAATCAACTCAGAGCATATTCTCTGCTGGATTAAAACAACCGTGCAGGAGGAAAGGAAAACCATGGTGCACAGAGGAGGTAGAGAAATATACTCTAAAATTGCGAGCTGCTTTTATTGCACTTTTTATGCTCATGTAGAATTTTCTTCTCATGATATACCTTAATTAATGCAACGAGTTTATTTTGCCCATTAGGTTTAGACAATATTTTCGGCATTCTGTCAACAACATTGTTGGGTTATAGCCTAGGCCTATAGCAAATTAGGAGACTTTATTTAAAACAATCCATCTCCGACTTTAGTACAAGCCCAAAGTTTAGTTTAACTTGAATTTATATGAAAAAATGTTTGAAGAACATGTTGCTGAAACTTCTTTATTTATCCTGATCATTAAAAATGCAATCTTTTAATGAGACCATTGTATGACCCGGCAGATCGTTGATATTGTCTGAAAATTGATATTGACTAAATGTTTCTTTAATTCATTTTTAAATTGAAAAAATAATTAGGGGTTTATAAATAACAACACTCAACAGGTTTTTTTTTTTATTTGTAAGCTTAGAGTAAATGTTCAGGAGGCCATTGCTTGACGTGTTCAAGGCCTAAAGTAAATGTCATTGAATGGCTTAAGGGCCTTAACGGTGTTAAAACCACAACTCTTTTATAAACGTGATGTTTTCTTTATGTTAAATAAGCTGTTTATATTGCAAGAATTTTGAAATCAAATCAACAGTAAACAAGACGATCAGGTTTTTAATTGACGATCTAATTAAGGCAGCTGTTAATTGAGGTCTTAATGAAATTTAGGCCAATTAACTGCATGATTAATCAGGTCATAATGAATTCATACAACACGTGAATTTAAAGCATTTGATTTGCGAGTGTGTTTGTGTGTGTGTGTGTGTGTGTGTGTGTGTGTGTGTGTGTGTGTGTGTGTGTGTGTGTGTGTGTGTGTGTGTGTGTCATGGGGATGAAATCGGAGACGAGCGAGCTGCTGCTTCCATATGTTATCATGAAGAGATTTACTGCACGTGCACAAACGCTTCTGTATAGTCTGCCACGCGCACCTGAGCCACATCCAACCTTTACGCTCCACCTTATACCAAAAAGGATTTCACTGGGCTGAGGTATTATTATTATTATTTTGGTAAGAGGCGGAAAGGGATTGTTTTTTTTCTTTTTACATTTGTAATTAATTCTTTATTTTTTGGGAAAGTGGGGTACATTAAATCTCGATTTTTGTCCCTCCTTGTTAGACTTTTAGTTTCATATTAGTAATATAAAAAAACATATGCCTATCAAATTATATGTGTAAAAGTTTTTGTGATCCGTCATTGTTGGCTGTCACTTATGATATCCTTGAAAATGACTTAAGACATTGTTCAGTGCTTTGTCCATAAACTGGCCTATTTAAAGCCTTGATGCATTGAACTTTGAAAAAAGGCTAATAGGAGAGAGAATAAGCAGAACTCTACTGAGAGCCGAGTTATCCTTCTTCTTAACGTCTCAAGCTCTTTCTTTTTGTCTCTCTTTTTTCACTTTTGATGCGCGCTTTACAGATTGGATAGAGTTCATGAAGTCTGTTTCAATGCTGGAAAAAGTGGGAGAAAGTAGCCTAGAGATGTTGAGCCCAGAGAAGGAACACGTGAGACACCACAACAGAACGTTATTCCATTAAAATATCCAAAACTCTTTAAGCGACATTTCTATCAGAAGGAGAAGCTTGTAACTTCAGGTAGCCCAAGCGCCGCTGCATTACCTTCTCAATACTGTTATAAGATGAGACTTTGAATTTAAGTTGCGTGTTGCTTATTGTCACATGCTGTTGAATCGTCTTATTTTTATTATTATTTACTATGTAGGCTTTAAGTCATTGAGCTCGTTTATCCTTAATAGTAAGATATTGTAGCCTTTTAACTTGATTCATTTTAGCAGCCTCAACTCAGATCACTAAAAAATGCAGTTAAGATAAACCTAAACAGATTCAGCAATGATGATGATTATTATTATGAATATTACTATTATTATTATTAGGCTGTTATTATTCAGGGTAAAGCAGCAGCAGTGTCGTGCAGCAAGCTTCATGTCTCTCTCGGCTCTTTTCTGCCCATATCAGCGCGCTGAATACGGCCTGAATGAAACTTTTATATTGTCATCAGTGTGTTCAACAGAACTCCTTTATGTCACTTGTACTGGTCAAATTGGGCTCCCCGCTGCGGTTTTGTGTCGCGGGTTTTTTAACGAGCCGCAGCTAACGAGGCAACGACATCAGAATCCCGCGGACACACAAAGCCTGCTGGGTATTTACCGAGCCGAGCTGCGGCTCCGCTCCTCCGGCTCTTTGTCTCCTTTCACTCGCAGAAAGCGCTGAGTTATAGCGGGGACAAGGTGCCCATAGACGGCCTATGTGTGTGTGTGTGTGTGTGTGTGTGTGTGTGTGTGTGTGTGTTCTCTGTGTGGCGCTGCTTCATGTTCATTATGCAGGTTGTTAATGACAAGAGCTTCAGAGAAGGAGCTGCTTTGAAGCCTTTATTTGTAAGCTTTTTTTCCTTTTTTTTTGCCAATCATAAAAGGCTTTGATTTTGAAAATTGTGATGTAGCATAATGAATGTCACGAGCTTTCAACATGCATGAAAGCCAACAGATAGTTAAACTTCTCCTTCCAGCACAGTGCACTTTTGGTGAAAATGATGGAGAACGGTCCTCACACCCATTTTAACCTTAATCCACCCCATAGAGCCCAAAGGAGTTTATTTCCTCTCACAGGTGTTTTTTCTACGATGCCAGTTTTTCATTGGTCCGTGTTTCTTATGTCAAATCATTGTTTATGTTTTAATTTGTGTTTTTTATTTATTCTTCTGTATTTTTCTGGTTGTGTTGTTGTGCAAAAATAAGATTAGAGCAGGTTTTGGTACCGGGGTCTCCATGAAGCAACTAATTCATTTATGCAGATTAAGTACACAGAACAGTTGTGTTTTGATGAGACTTAAAACAAAATTGCATTGATGTGAATTTGCTTGAATTGCTCCAGATAATTGCAGGTAATTATTTAAGTTTCAAAAGATTTATATTAAGTTCAATAATGCATTGATCTATCAATGGAGAAGAGCAGCGCTGAGCCAGTTTTGTTTTCTGGATGAGCAGCTGGCGACATAGAACCGGCATCCAACTATTTCATTGTTAAAGGAAGCAGGATGAAATTACATTTCATAAAAAGTCAGTAAAAAGGGCACAGGATTATTCATTCTTATTATTTTTTCACAGATAAAAAAATAAAATGTATCAAAAGAAGTTGTCATTTCGTATCTTACGTCTGAGGCTTCATTGATAACTGTGAGAGACTGTGCCTGAAGCTGCTGAAGCATTCAAAGACAGTTTTGCTTGGATTAGTGGGACTCAGTGTTGGCCCTGCAGATGCTCTTGAGCGAAAACAAGCCCCTCTTTCTGATCTAACTTTATTTTATAATCCGTCATGAAACCTCTGGATGTGTTCTGACTCCCCTCCAACATATCAGCCAATCCCCACTCCTTACTGCTAATGTTCTTTTTTATGTTATTTTTATAGAGCGCATCAACTGTCCCTAACAGTGTCCTCTTGACTTTGAACGATCAGAGGGAAATTTAAGTTAATCAACAGTGAAGGAGGTGATATGAGGAGCCTTTTAAGAGTACCAAATATATATACAGTTCAACTTTAATGATATTTTCTGTCAAGGTCCAAAAACCAATCAAGTGGCCAGTGACAATGTGGCTTGCATTAATGGCATTCACATCCTACATCTAAAATCAGGCTCATTCTTCTCATTGATATTTTATTAAAACTAATAACCTTTTTAACCAGTTTGTACAACTGAGGTTACAAATTAACCCATTTATTTTCTCTTTGTAGGAGCCCAAATTAAAAAAGAAAAGAAAAAAACTCTCAGAATAAAAAGATAATAGGAGATCCATCTAAAGGTGCAGTGTACCTCAAACTGAGTGCCTGTCGTTGAGCGCT